CTAAGTGGTTTACAGAGTCAGCCTATTGCCCCCAACAACAATCCGGATCCTCATTTTACCCACCTTGGAAGGATGGAAGGCTGAGTCAACCCGGAGCCGGTGAGATTTGAACAGCCGAACTGCAGAACTGCAGTCAGCGAAAGTAGCCTGCAGTGCTGCATTTAACCACTGCGCCACCTCGGCTCAGTTATTTTTATGAATAATTTAAGACAGAGAACGTACCTAATACTCCTTATTATTATTATTTTCCCCAAAACAGCAACGCTATGAGATGAATTAAACTGAGAAAGAGTGACTGGCCCAAAGTTCACCCAGCTGGCTTTCATACCTAAGGCAGGACTAGAACTCATAGTCTCCTGGTGATTGACTCAAATTCACCCAGCTGGCTTTCATGCCTAAGGCAGGACTAGAACTCACAGTCTCCTGATTCCAAACCTGGTACCTTACACAAGTCATGTGTAAGCCTGTACATTCTCTATCACTGCCTTTTACACCCAATTTTGTCTGAAAAACAACTACAAGATAAATGGATAATTTTTTCCCAATCAGAATAGCAATAGTAGCAATAGTTAGACTTATATACCACTTCATAGGGCTTTCAGCCCTCTCTAAGCAGTTTGCAGAGTCAGCATATCGCCCCCACAGTCTGGGTCCTCATTTCACCCACCTCGGAAGGATGGAAGGCTGAGTCAACTTTGAGCCTGATGAGATTTGAGCAGCCAAACTGCTGAACCGCAGTCAGCTGAAGTAGCCTGCAGTGCTGCATTTAACCACTGCGCCACCTCGGCTCTTCTAATAGCGCTGGAAGGGAACTTCTAGTCCAACCCCCTGCTTAAGCAGGAAACCCTATCATTTCAGACAGATGGCTGTCCAGTCTCTTAAAAACTTCCAGTGTCAGCACCCATAACTTCTAAAGGCAAGCTGTTCCACTGGTTAATTGTTCTCACTGTTAGGGAGTTTCACTTTAATTTCAGGTTGCTTCTCTCCTTGATTCGTTTCCATCCATTGCTTCTTGCCTTGCCTTCTGGTGCTTTGGAGAATAAATTGACCCCCTCCTCTTTGTGGCACCCCTTCAAATACTGGAATTCTGCTGGGTCAGATGGAATCACCATTCAATCCAGCACCCAGTTTCCAATAGTATCCAGAGAACTTACTTCTTACATGCTTATGTTTTAAAATGGCCAGATTCTATCGTATAGGTCAGGGGTCCCCAAACTTGGCAACTTTAAGACTTGTGGACTTCAACTCCCAGAATTCTCCAGCCAGCTTTGCCAAGTTTGAAGAACTCTGATATAGGTAGTCTTCAATCACAAAGGGCCCCAGACTTTCCATTGCTAAATAAGGCAGTTGTTAAGTGAGTTATGCCGGATTTTGTGATCTTTTTTTTTTTGGCCACAGTTGTTAAGCAACTCATTGCAGTGGTTCGGTGAATCACACAGTCCTTAAGCAAATCTGGTTTGCCCCCTAGGTCTTGCGCAAGTGGGTAGCAACCCGGGGCTCTGGAGCCGCATGTGGCTCTTTCATCCCTCTGCTGCAGCTCCCTGTCGCTTCCAGTGGGGATGGGGGGAAGCACAGCGCGCCAGGAGAAGACTCTATGGCAAGGGGCAGGTTTTCCAGCTTGCTCCACAATTGATAGGGCTTTCGGTTAGATAGAGGAAAAAGGACGTCGTGTTAGGAGAAGACTCTATGGTGGGGGAACCAAACTTCGGGTCAGCTACAGAATTGAATGGGGGGGGGGCTTCCGGTTAGGACCTCTGTGGCTCCCGGTGTTTTCTTTTCTGTGGGAAATGGCTCTTTGAGTGTTTAAGGTTGCCGACCCCTGGTCTTGCTTGTCAGATGCCAGGTGGGAAGATTGCAAATGGTGATCACATGATTCCAGGATGCTGCAACCATTGTAAATACAGGCTGGTTTCCAAGCACCCAAATTCTGATTACGTGATCGTACTGGGGATGCTATGATAGTTATAAGTGCGAGGCACAGCCGTAAGTCTGGACTGTTGCTAAACGAATGGTTATAAGCCGAGGACTATCTGTGTCTGTTGCCCCAAACAGAGGCAGGTAGAAAGGAAGCTACCTGCCCCAAAGGGAGGGCTGTCCAGAATATTGCAGAGTTCAAGCAAGGCATTTAGACAGTGGTGGGATCCTGCCAGTTTAACAACCAGTTCAGTGATCACGTGNAATTATTCTTATTTATCTTTATCACTTTTACATATTTATTTTTCCATATAAAAGGATAAAATATACATTTTGGGATGCTTTGCTTACCATCCCATACACCTATTTTGTATTATGGCCACCCAATATTTCCTTCTTTTCGCCCTCCCTCCCTTCTCTACTTTCTTCCTTCCTCCTCTCCTTTCCCTTTCTTCTTCCCTTGCCTCTCCCCTACTCCTCTCTTCCCCCTCCTACTCTCTCTCCTTCTCTTTCTATCCCTTCAGTCCTTCCTCTCCTTTCCTCTTCCTTCCTTCTTTCCTCCCCTCCCCTTTCCTCTCTTCTCTTCTCCTCCTCTCTTCCTTTCCTTTTCTGTTGTTTTCAACTCTCAACTGGTGTATTTTCAGGATGATATTCCCGCAAACCTGGATATAATTTTATGCTTATCCTTTCCTGTTCCCTTTTCTTCGTTATCATGTCCTAACTATTTCCCCCCCTCTATTTTATGTCTTTTTCAAACTCTTTGGTATAGTCCACATCTTGCTCTTAGCCAGAGACTTAACTTAACAAATCCAATTTGTTACAGCATGGGTACAACATGATGTAAAGCACCCAAATGCACCAAATTACAAGTAGTCCTCGACTTATAACAGTTTGTTTAGTGACCATTCAAAGTTTCAATGGCACTGAAAAAAGTAACTTTCGACCATTTTCCACACATACAACCCTAGCAACATTCCCATGGTCAAATGATCAAAATTCAGATGCCTGGTAAGTGACTCATATTTACGATGGTTGCATTGTCCTGGGGTCATGCGATCCCCTTTTGCGACCTTCTGACATGTCAAAGTCACTGGGGAAGCCCGATTCGCTTAACAACCTTGTTACTAACTTAACAACTGCAGTGATTCACTTAACATCCGTGACAAGAAAGCTCATAAAATGGAGCAAAACTCCATTTTGTTGAGGGAGACATTAACAAATGTCTCACTTAGCAACAGAAGTGTTGGGCTCAATTGGGTCGTAAGTCGAGGACTACCCGTATGGCATCTTTGAGGTCTTGGACTTGTTCATACAATCAGCTAAGTCAGTGACTGGATTCCCACAATGTGCTGAATCACAGTCTATCCTGCTCAGGGGTGGGTTCCTGCCAGTTCTAACCTCGTCTATAGAAGAGGTTCCACAAACCTACCATGCCGTTTAGAACCGGTTCCAGCTCCCTCCCCCTGCCCGTCCGCACTTCATCAAGATGAAGAGCGAGAGGAGGAATTCTGGGAGTTGAAGTCCACAAGTCTTAAAGCTCTCAAGTTTGAACACCCCTGCGGTTTTTCCCCCCTAAAGGGTTAGGGATGTTAGGGTCTTGTAACTTGACAGCTTTAAGACTTGCACACTTCAATGCCAGAATTCCTGAGCCAACATTTTCAATGCTAAGCAAGAGCATTGTTAAGTGAGTTTCGCCACATTTTACAAGTTGGCCACACCCACCCAGTCACATGGCTGGCAAGCCACTCCCACTCAGTCACATGACCAGAAAGCCACTCCCACAAAGCAGGCCACACCTACAGAAGAGATTCTAAAAAAATGTGAAACCCACCACTGATATATACATAAGTAAATACATA